GGACAAATCAGGGTTAATTTAAATAAAATCTACTAATGCAGCTAATCCTACCACGAATCCAGCAGCTAATCTAGATACCCATCGAAATAATAATAATTTACCTAGACTATCAGATAGAATTGTGGAAGTATATTCTATAACATATGATAGTAAGGATAGGAATAAATTAAACCTAGGAATTATAAGCTTATTAGACAAAAAAAAAACGAACCTTTAATAGGAACCGATAAATTGAAATTAAGAGAGCACGAATTAGTTACGGGAAACATAATTGTTTATAAATATAAAATCTATAGGATGTCCTTTAGTCTTTAAGCTACATGCTCCCTAGCTAAACTTTATAGTCTTACAGGAATAATATTATTCCTGTAAAATTCTCATTAGCTCAATGGTAGAGCATAATACTTCTAATATTTAGATTATAGTTCGAATCTATGATGAGAATACATATTAGATTATTTATTCTATTATGATAAGATAATAAGTAATAAAATAGAACATTTATTACTTTTAACCTAATTATATTTTAAACATTTTTATGTAAAAATTAATAATTAATAATAATTAAAAAAAAATGACATCTTTATCTTCAACTCTTATATCTCTTATTGAGGTTGTTTTAGTTTTAGTTCCTGCATTACTTAGTGTAGCTTATGTAATAGTAGCAGAAAGAAAAACTATGGCAAGTATGCAAAGAAGATTAGGACCTAATGCAGTGGGTCAAAATATAATATTTTCTTCATTTAAGAGCTTGCGCCTCCACAAACTAGATCTTATCATACAACAACTAAGTATGATAAAGCTATAGAAGCCTTATATAAAAACCGTATGGCCCCTTTAACTCCTTTTGAGGAATTCCTCAAAAGGTGTTAAGTGTTTGTGAAGATTTATCGTCTTCAACTGCTCTTAATGCCATTTTTTTTTTATAAAAAAAAAAGGTTCCCAGATAAAGGCGGATTATATATATTTACTTTAAAAGAAAACCCTTAAATATTCTATATAGGTAGAGCTAAAGATTTCCAAAAAAAACTTAAAAGTCACTTTAATACTAATTTAAAAGATAGATTTCATGTGTTTGCTAATACTATAGGTTGAGATAAATTGAAATTTTCGGTTATAGAAGTTTGTAATTTAAGTATGCAAAAAGAAAGAGAAAATTTTTATTTACAAAAATATTTACCTCTATTGAATACTATATTTAAAAGTAACTTAAATAGTATTCAAACTTTTGAATCTTTATATGAAATACTTAAACTTAGGCAAAATCCTTTAACACGCGAAAATAAATATGTAGGTATCAATGTGTATC